GGTAAATTTGACTAGATACATTGAAAACTGGACTGAGTGGCCTTCTTCAACATTGTAGCCCTTTCTCTTAGCTTCGAAACGGTGTAAATTACACCTCAATCCAACAAGGATAGCTTCGGTTGTGTTAATTCCGCTAAGCAACAGCAAATCTGCCTTTTGTTTCCCAACCCAAACTTCCTTTCCGCATATGTCCTAGTTTGATTTTGCCCTTATACGTTCCATATGATTTTACTCTAGTGATATGTGGATTCGGTTTATGTCTCGTATTCAAGCCTTATTGTGGCTCTAATTAAAGGTGTTTGATAGCTTGTGATTTGTGGGTGTTGAGGTTTGGTTGGAAAGTAAAGAAAGACATGGGAAATGCTGTCAAAATTTTCGCGGAGCTTCTGCACAGTCTCGGGAAATTTGCTATATCTTGATGTAGGAATTTCGGAATGGAACTCTGTTTGTTGCGTTTTAAACTAGATTCATAGGGGTATAAACCATGTAAATTTCAGACCATGTTTATGTCTGTACCAGTTATGGTGATTTTTCAAAGTTGACTGAAATATTGTACCTGTTCTGTCTTTCACTGGATAAAGCAGCAACTTGAGGCTTGAATTTGACTGACTTACGTTCTGAATCTTATGAGGGTATTTTATGGAAAGTTATAGCCTTTTGAATGTATTTTCCAATGGTATAACTTTTATTAATTTTGGACTTGCAAAACTTGAGATATGATTTTTCATATAGGGTTGCGCGAAACTGGAAAATCCTGTTTTCCTAGTATCGATCTTACTTTCATTTTTTGCTTAAATTTTGAAGTTGGTCAGTCATTGTAGGTAGGGTTTTGAGGTTGTTCATGCCTTTAGGACTAATCGTTTTCTTTTCACTCCAAAGTTACCTCTTCGCTTTACATTAATGGTTCATTTGGATAGGCACCTGACTTGTAATCGAGTTTTACTTGCGAATTCCACTTATTAGGTTTTGGAGTCCAGTCTTAAGTGTTTGCCTTGATTGTTCTAGGAGGTGCCGGCGAGTAAAGCCACACTTGGGAAAGAAACTTTTGAAATTATCCTTGTTTGATCAGGTGAGTGTACCACTCCCCTGAATTATTGCTAAACTGGTTTCCTGTACTTGCAAATTGCTAGTTGAATGCCTTTCCTGACTGTTTATCTTGTATGAGACGAGGGTGTACTTTATCACACTCGTTCTCTTGCCTGTACTGAACAAACTGGAATCTATTACTTGTACTTGTTATGTACTTGAATTTGTTACTTGCACTTGTTATGATGTCGTTTGGAAGAGTATCCAAAGACCTTCCTGTTAAACCTGAGCTCAACCTCATGGGGAGTTAATTAAATCGAGCCAGCGAGGGCTTGGTCGAGATAATTGACAATCCATGGGTGCCTGTTCCTGGGGGAATCTTTGGGTATTGAGACTCTTGATTCCGGTATACTCGAGTATTACCATTCCTGTTCCTGTTTGGCGTTCGGGCCCGGTAAGGGGTATGTTTGGTGAACGGGATTTTGGCGTTAAAGTGGTGATCTACTGGACTGGTTCCTTTATTTGAACGTTGACGGAGGGTCAACAAGACTGGATCAAGTATAGCAATGGGAATTTGGCTCCTGAGAGCCACCTGTATCCTTTACATTGTGACATTCATTCATTTCTCATATTTGATGTGAATATGCGCCTCCAAAGTGCTTTCACATGAATTCTATTGATTCTACTGTTTATACTGTTGGTACCTCATTGAGCTTCTAGCTCACCCCGTTCCGTTATCCTTGTTTTCCTTACAGGAAATCACCTTTTGAAGACTATGATGTTTTGAAGCATGAATCGAGCTAGTTTAGTATTCTTTTGTATAGCTCCTCGATGGTTGGAAAACCTTAAATGTATTTTAACCAAACAATTCCCTTTTGAATTATAAATTTGCAACCATGTGTATATAAAAGTGTTTAACCATGTTCCTAAGTTGATTGGGTTTGGAAATGTTATTTTCTAGGGTTATCTAAAGTTGTTGTGCATGTTTGGGTTTCGGACAGTGAATGTTATCTTCTCGAAGTTCTTTTGAGCGATTGGTAGGGTTTACGCTCGTTCCGGATCCGTAGTCCCTGCGAGAGATGGGCAGGCGGTCCGCCGAACCCTTTGGTTCGCCTTAGGGGGGGTGGGGCTGTCACACTGGGATGTAAAGGAAAAGGGTAACTTACAGTGATAGTGCTTTCTCTCGGTGAAGATGGTGACGGTCGGGAGGATTAGCAGCTCCAGTGGCTCCTTTGCTCCTTGAGGAAATAGCACCAGACCTCTTTTCCTCTTTCCTCTCTCTCCCACTCTCTCCCTCGTTTCTCTCTAGTTTTCTCTTGCTCCTTCTCTCAGCCGTCTTCCCGAAAGCCTCCCTCTTTTTCTGGTTTCCCTCTTAGTTTTCTTCCCTCCAGCCGCCACTCCTCTACTCTCTCACTTTCTGTTCAACCCGTAGCCTTCCTTTTTTTGCTCTTGGCCAAAAACCCTCAACTCTCTTTCCGTTTCTTCCCCTCCATGCCGAAGACCTCTCTTGCCCCTTTTCCCTTGCTTTTTCTTTCTTGTTTCAGTCTTTTTCTCTCAGCTCCAACACCTCGCTCCCTCTTTTTTCTTTTCCCTTTCCTCCTCTGCTGGATTTCTTTCTTTATGTTTTTCCCAGCCGCCGCCCTTTCTCTGGTTTTTTTTTCCTTTTCTCCATCCGCCACTCTAATCTTCTCTATCTCTCATTCTTCCGTTACCCTTTTCTCTAACCCTAGCCGTCACTCCAAAATGTCCTCCCTAAACCCTCTCATTTTTTGTGGCCTTTTTATAGGCATCAGATACCCTCAAAGCCTAGCATCAATGGTGCGGGTTTTTGCCTTTTTCTGATGATTATCTTGAGCCCCTAGATGGCTCTTGTTACTCAATAACTTGAGTTCCCTGGATGGCCTATAGTAGAGTGATCCAATGGAGCCCAAAAAATGAAAAAAAAATGAGTGGGAAAAGAGCTGGAATTTTTGTAGCTGCATTTCTGATACTGTAGCTTCATTTCTGCCGAAGAAGAAAATGTGCGCCTGCACTGCACGCGCGTGGCTTCCCTCTCTCTTTTTTTTATTATATTTTTTTCTGCTTTCCAAATCAATTTTGGGTTAAACAAAACAAAATTAATTCCTAATAGAAAATACATTGCCATATTTTCATTTATTTTAAAGTAATCAAATCTAAAATGATTTAAAACATATTTTTGTGAAAATTTTCCTTTTCAAAATTTTAATGCAAAAAATATCTTAAAAAAATGAAATTATAAACCTAACTTATAAAAAATAAATAAAGAATACACTAACTATCATTTAATAAAAATGAAAGTATAAATAAAGTTAACATGAAATTTTTGGTGTCTACAAATGGTTGGCGAATGAATGAATGAATGACTTGAATGAATGGCTCCGAGTGAGCACGTATCCTTCCAATGATTGAGTGTTTATTTCTTGAATGACTGGATATTACTGTGCAAAGTATGCAAATTGTTAAATGTAATGTTTCCATAGTTTCCCTACCTGATTGCTTGTTTAGGAACCTCACTGGGCTTTTAACTCATTCCTTTAGTTTTTGTTTTCCTTACAGGAATGGAGGTCCGAAGCAATTGAATGTGAACTAGAGTGTGTAACCCTCTTGTACTTATATTTTTTGGTTGATAGAATATATTTTGACATTTGATGTTGTAACATACGTTTGACTTTTGGGTTTGTAAATAAGTTTACATTTTGGTTGAATTATAGAACTTAAATGTTATTTTGGAGGCCTGAATGATTAATCTTGAGAGTTGAGTGAGTGAGTGAGTCCTACCGAGAGTTGGGCAGGCGGTCCGTCAAACCCTTGGTACGCTCTAGGGGGAGGTGGGGTCGTTACATGTGGTATCAGAGCTACTTTGCGTGGTATCTGCACGGGTGAGCTTGGGACAAGTGGTGTTATAGTCTCGATTACGTGAAAAGCGTAAAGGATTAGATGCTCTTCTTGAGCGTAAGCTGTAAATCATGAATGTTATTGGTATAAATCCTTTGTCTTGATACTTGGGGAAAATTAGATATGTATGTCGGGTAGGAATCTCAAATGTAATTAATTTGCTCTTGGGACCGGCCGACTCGAGTTATGAATTATCCTATTTTTGGATTCTTGTACCCGAGTACCAAAGAGTTGATACTTTTATGACGGTTACGAATGAAATTGAGGTAAGTATGGAAGATGCGATTAGGTCATGCTTATATGAATTGTTTCTAGATCGAAAGAATAGGTTATTATCTTGGATTAGCATTACGAATGATGTATTTGAATTTGTATCTGCAATTGAAGAGTTTTGTGCTTTGACTAATTTGAGATGCTTGTGGATGAGGTAGTACAAGTGAACATAGCCAAGGGAGGTCAATGGTATGCAGGCCCTAATGAACTTCATCTTGAGCCTAAAGTAGGGCAACCTGTGTCCCAGGGAAAGGTAGAATCAGTTGCTTTGATAATCACCTAGGTTAGAGACTCGAGAATGCAAGACGTAGGTGTAGGTAACTGGGATGACAAACCATTTCTTTTTCTACCATTGTATGTATGCTAGTGACGTGTCAATACTAATGTGTGTAGTATCTGCTTTGTTTTACGCACTTGGTTTTGATCAAATTGATAAGTAAAGTATCTGTGCAACCTGATGAATGAACTTGGAATGCTATAAGTGTACTAAGTGCATTTCCTTATCTTTGACTATGTGATAAAAAAAATGTCTTTCTTTTGCTGCTATAGTCGATTGATTTTGTTTATGTGCTATATAACCTTTTGACAAAAGAGAGAGAGAGAGAGAGAAGGGTATGAAGGGTAGATGAAGTCAAGGATGAGGGGCTAGTCAGGGACGTGGGGCTAGCCGTGGACATGGACGTAGGCAAGTACAAGAACCAAGAGAAACAAGAGACGCGGCGGCAGAGCAGCAACAAGAACCAAGGATCGAAGCAGGGAATCAAGTAGCAACGGCAATACAATAGATGGCTAATATCTTAGCGCAATTGCTAGAGCAACAAGGCCGAACTCCAGTGAATCAACCTAGGAGCCCTGAAAATGGAGAGGACAGGGCTCTAAAGCATTTTCAAAAGTTTGTTCCTCTTAAGTTCCTTGGAGGGCCTGATCCAGAGACGGCTGAGCATTGGTTGGAGGCTATGGTTAATATTTTTATGGCCTTGAATTATACGGAGGAAAGACAAGTGACATTTGCTGTCTTTCAGTTTGAGAGACCCGCTCGGGCATGGTGGAATGTTATCAGGGCAAAGTGGGAGAGAGAACAAACGGCATGGACTTGGGTAAACTTTATGAGAGAGTTTAATGAGAAATACTTCCCACCTCTGGTCCAAGAGAAGAGAGAGGATAATTTTATTAGGTTACGTCAGGAAACCTTAAGCGTAGCCGAATATGAAACCCAATTCACTAAATTGTCTAAATTTGCTCCTGAAGTAGTGGTTACGGAGCAGAGAAGGGTGAGACGGTTTATACAGGGGTTGAATCTGGAGATCCAAGAAGCTTTAGCAGCTGCTCAAGTTAATACTTTTACTGAAGCTCTTGAGAAGGCCCAAAAGATTGAGAATGCAAAGGCACAGGTAAAAGCTTTTCACGCACGCAAAAGGAGTGCACCTAATAGTATACATGGAGAACTTAGAGAAAATGCAGCACCTTCCAAAGTAAAAAGAGCAAACCATTCACCCTATCCACCATGGACAATAGAAACGCTAGAAGAAGGTCTTACAAGGAGAAGTGAAGTGGAAAAAGGACAATAAGAGGGAAGTCCTGAAGAAGGCCAAAAGGTGGCTTCTCGTTTGACCTGTGAATTGTCGCGCCTCACTTTTTAAGGTTGTGAAAGTAGTGTGTGGGATATGTATGTGAACGTATGTGAAAATGAAAAATAAAAGGCCATGGGATTGTGAAATGCGACGGTTTGGCCAAACAAAGTTCAAAAAGGGTTTTTGAATGGAAAATGGAGTCGCCACTTGGTATAGAGTAAGGGTGTACCAAGTCACCCAAAAAGTGATTTTTTGGAAAGAAAAGTAAACAACTTTTTAAAGAACTCTTAGGTCTACGTAACCAAAGCTAGTTGAGTGACTTAGCCCTTCTTTTCTTAATTCTTCTACCCAAAATATGTGTTGCATGTTGGATCTGACTAATGGATATGAAAAAAATGCAATCCTAAATCTAAAATGTCTCTTATGAGACTTTTTGGTCCCAATCACATGAGTTGTGATGGCCAATAAGGAAAACTCTCATAGAGGTCACGGGTAATGCAAATGAAGACCCAAATATGAGTGCAAGTGTGAAAATGTAAGAGAAATGCAAAATAAAATAAAATAAAAATACAAATGTAAGTGCAAGTGTGCAAATGTAATAAAAGTGCATGTGTGCAAATGTAAGAAAAGTGCATGTGTGCCAATTGAGAAAATGAAGGTGTATGTGTGCAAGTGGATCAAAATATGGTATAATGGTAGTAAATGCATCTAAGTACAATTGGGTGCAATTTGTGAGGTAGAAAATAAATAAGTGATAGGGAAAGAAGAGAAGTGTGTGAACATGGCATGTGGAATGAGAAAAATATAAGTAGTGAGAAAATGTAGATGAAAAAATGATATGGTAAAATGGAGGTGCATGAACCTAGAGGAATGCATCAAGTCGGGTACGGGAATGACTTCTATCTTCATGATTTTAATTTTCCCTTTGATTAGAAGGAAGAACTAGCGTGCTAAGGCTATTTTGTAGCCACACTCGCTCGTTTCCCTTACCGAAAGGGGACTCTCAAGCAAATGTACCCTATAACTAGCATGAGGATGCAAAAAAACCTAAAATGAAGGGGAAAGGATTGGAGGAGCATACCAAATGCTAGAAAACTAAGAAAAATGTATGAAATGTAGTGAGACATGCAAGTATGTACTAACGAGAGGGGACGGCCTATTGGGTCTAGCATTGGACTAGCCCTTTTCTAAAATTCTCTCACAAGCATTGGACTTGCGAGAGCTCGAGGGGAAAGACCATGACCAGCGTTGGACTAGCCACGGCGACGTGACACATTCATTATAAACCAAATAAATCATGTAAAGGCTAATAAAGCAAATAAACACATAAATCACATATAGCACATAACACATAAGCATGGTATCGAGATGCAAGACCCTAAGAAAGCAAGTAACACGTAGCACGTAAGCATGCAAATCACACTAATGAACCTATTACATTGGCTAACTAAAACAAATGGGGAAGGGGAAAAGTGAATAAAAATGCTCTCCAAGCCCTATCTATTACAAGCCAAGAGGTGTACACATACCCCATAAATAAATAAAAGAATGACTTAATAAAAGCAAAAGTAATTGAAATAAATGAAAGGAATTAAGAAAAAGCAAGGAAAGCAAAGTAGACATGCAATTCCAACTTAGCACGTTAGTTCACATAGGGGAGAGACAAAAAAGATAAAAGAAGTTATACCTCCCTTGAGTTGATGCCCTAACGAAGTGAAATTACTAATTTACCCTCCAAAACAATAAAATGGTCAGGGTACCAATTTAATTAAGAACGTTAAAGAAAATATGCAAAACACAAGCTCACTTGGTCATAAAGCTCTTAAAATCACGAATTAAGTGCAATTAAACAAAATATGGTAATTAATTAAAGCAAACAAACAATGAAGTTGCAAAAATCAAAGCTGCGAAGGATCAAATTGATGAAAATATTCAATTGGTTGGGTCATAGTGGAACGAGGGGAGACTTGGGGGGCCAAACTGCAATTTTCAGAAAGACTTTCATGCAAAGCATGCAAATGCTACGAAGAGAATGTTTCTGCAACATTTCTTATGCTCTTAAACTTCAGCAACTTTGCCCGGCAAATTCACACAACCATCTCACCAAAACCCAACCTCAAACTCCTACCAAACTTATCATGCATGCAAGAGCCAGAATGAAGAAGATTTTCATGCACACTCCATGCAAGTAACGTGGGAAAACATACAAACAAGCTTCTGCAAAAAAAAGTTTCAGCAATTCTTTAAGATTTCTGCACCATTCCAGCCGAGACTTTCTTTCCAGTTCATCATGCAAACATGTTCACCAAATGCCAGGATTTTAACTATCAATCATTGACTAAACATGCAACGTCATTGCAGGATTGAAACAAGAATTGAAGCTGACCATCAAGGGTAAAAACTAAACAGAAAAACATCAATAGAAAAAGAATGCAGCAGGAGCTTTCTCTGCAAAATCACATTCGCAAGCTTCCCATAGCTCTCGGCTATTCATCACCTAAATCTATCGCACAACAATGAAAGAAAGGGAACTACAACATGCCATTTTGATAGGAAAAACAGTCCCATCCCTCTTGAGTTAAGAACATGAACCAAGTTTCCAAACCTGATAAACTAAACTGCTGGGACGAAACATGCAATGCAGGAAAGAAACAAAAAAATACAAAGGGAAAAAAACAGCCAAGCATGATCGAAATAACGTTAAGCCAACACCGAAACCAGAATCAAACCAATGCGAGTTCAGACTTGGGTTAGAACAAACTAAAAGTCTAAAAATGAAAACAAACAGGACACGGCTGCAACAGTTGTGAAAATTTGCAGTAAAAATGAGAAAAGGAAGAAACTTGTGGCACGCATATCTTTCGCGCGGAGGTTTTCCCTTTTTTACTGATCACATATATCATGCAAACGAATCTCAAGCTAGCAAGGATGCACAACTTAAATGTTTTACTACTGAAAATCAAACATCCGATTACACAAACAACAAGGTGATCAAGCTACTACAATTTCAGCATCCAAAAGAAAAAGAAAGGCTGCGGCAATGAGTCGACAGCCTTCAAGTTTATTGCAGCAGACTCCATACGCAATGTTCAACCCAAGGAAATTTAAACCCAAACAAAGGGGGTCATCAAACATTCCAATGGCTATCCAACCGAGAGTTCAAGCGAACAGGAAATTTCTTGTAAGTAAACAATGCATCATATGCCATTGCTGCAACGAAAAACCACTACTTGACCCATGCATTCACGTTCATATGACCAGAACCAAAACCATTATTTTTAGCCAAAAACCCACATATCCTTTAACCCTTTGTTGCTTACAGAAACCAGGCAGAACAAAAAAAAACATCTTACGATAAAACAAAACAGATCAGAGGGTCATGCAAATCAGATAATAGAGAGAAAATTTCCAATTTTGCTGGGCTCACTTATCACAACCATCAGCTATAGATCCCGAACCAAAAGCATCTCAAATTCATCATAAAAACACCACCGAGGACCCTCAAACTATTGTCCATGCGTTCATCGACCATACATCAAGCATTAACGACAGAAAAAATCCAAACTTGGCATGAGTTTGTGACTGAAATACCTTCGGTGAAGATCTGCTGGTGGCGATGGAGGGCTGAAATGGTGGCAGTAGTGAATCTCGACTTCAATGGCTACTGCAGCTTTCCTTCCTTCGCCCCCTCTCCTACTTACTCTCTCAAAGTCCTCTTTTCTTCTGATTTTCCTCAGCTATCCTCACTGTTATCTCCCTCAGCCGTCAACTTGGTCGCTCCTCGGCTCACACTCTCTCAGCTTTCTCTCCTCACCCCCTCCGTCACTCGAGCTCTCTCTCTCTGGATTGTTTCAGCCACCACCTATCTATCCCTCTCTATCTTTTCGCCATCCTCCCTCTTTCTCCTCTCATTTCTGTCCTTTTTCGTCGTCACAACTCTCAGATTTCCATTCCCTATTCTTACTCAGCCGTCCTCCCAGAATCCCTTGGATCCTCCAGCCGTCCTTAGCCTCTCTGGTTTCCGTTTCCTAGCCACCCACAACTCCCAGACTTCCCTCTCTTCAGTTCTCTTGTTTCTCTCTACTCTCCTTTCTGGTTTTTTTTTTCTTCCCTCCGCCGTCCAGACTCTCTCTGCTCTCGGCTATGTTTTCTGTTCTATTTATATCAAAGACACCACTCTCAAACCCTCACCTCAAAGGTGAGGATGAGAGTGGAGGTTTGCTGGGCATCGTAGGGCCATCCGATCCGTTGTGTGCCAAGCCAACCAGAAACAAACTCCCGTGAGAGTGATTTCATGCCACATGCATGTGCGGCCTTTTCTCCTTTTTTTTTTTTTAACACTTAAACAGCCCAAAACCCGCTCTCGGGTTTCCCTTTTTTTTTTTTTTTAAAACGCTTAATTATACAAAAACAATAATTCCAAAACAAACTTTAATAAAATGCACAAAAATTAGTAACCAAAAAATAAAAAACTAAGATTTTCCTCTTTTCCACTTTTTCTTCTTTTTTTTCTCTCTTTTTTTTTCAATAAAAAGAAATAAAACATATTCCAATTAAGTGTGGCTAACAAAAGGATCTTAGCAGAATGTAGGTTCATGCAATCAACCAGAAACTAGTCTTCTGCAACTGGAAGCAAGGCCTGCTGCATTTTTGTTTGCAAACAGACTCCAAGCAGCTTTGCGTAAAACCAACTCATCTATCCAAACTCTGAACTTAAGCATCAAAACAAATAACCTCCTCATCCAATAAACAAAACATTGAAGGAAATCATGCAAATCTTATGAAACTTTCCCGCACATCTACGAATGAAACTGCTGCAACATTCATGCAGTTTCTTTTCTTTCTTATTCCAGCTGAGAGGCGTTCATGCGAAATAGCTTAAAAACTGATTATGTTCGACCCAAACACTCCCAACGGATCCAACAAAACTAGCCATGAAATGTAGCAAAAGAGAAGGTAAGACTTGCGGCACTCTAAGGAAAGGGGAAGGGGCTGCGCGCGCTGCTGCAACAGGACCAAGAGTTTCAAGCGTGGCTTGTTGCAGCAGGTTTGTATGCGCAAAACTGAACGTAAAAGCGTTCTAAAATCATGCAAACAAGCACATTAAACATTCTTCCTAGCTTTCAACGTGAAATTGGCAGACTTAAACACCAGAATTTCAGAAAAAGAAAGAACATGTGAAAATGGAGATGAAATTCTGCAACTTCATGAGTTATCTGGTGCGAAGGTTTGCATGAATGTTATGCCGTCCATTGCTGTTTTAAATCTCAGCAAACACAGACATGAAGTACTATCAAGTGACACGCAAAGCCCAGGAAAAAAAAGATCGAGCCATTCCAGAAACTTTAGCAATCGCATGCAGCTAAATTTAACAGCCATATCGGACAGGAATCCCACCAACAGACCAAAGATGTGATTTTTAGTTTCTCAGATTACCCATTTAGGAAAACGCTATCTAATTACGGCTTTTTAATTGTTCCTAGTTCAGATTCACATTGCAAAAGCAAAAGAGACTACCACCAAGCCTATCAACAACATAACGACATCACTGAACCATACTCACAGTCATCGTCATCAAGTATCGGCAGAAACTGAGGGTGCTTAGACTGCTGAGTGAACAAAAGGGACCCCGAGCAATCGAACGCTTCTGAAAACCACATCCACGAACCGAATTGCAGAGGCTTCCAACGCTGATGCCTCTAGTCAAAGATCCCTCCTTTCCTTTTCCAGTAGTTCTTTCTTGTTTTCGGTTTTGCTTCTACTTTTGCTTCTGATCTAACTATTCAGCCGCCACCTTCTCTCAGACCCCCAAAGCTCCCTCTTTTCTTTTACTTCGCAGTTCCTCCGCTGTCTTCCCTTTGGCACCTCTTTCTCCCGTTATTTCTTTTCTCTATCAAAACCTAGCCGCGGCTTAACCTCCCAGCCGTCACTCTCTCTTTCTTACTCTACCTCCCCTTCCAGCCGCCGTCAACTAGAGCCCTCATCAGACCTCACCTCCTCTCCTGGTTTCTCTCCCACTCAGCCGCTAACTAGCCTCTCGGTCTCCTCTCTCTGGTTTCTTTTTTTTTTAGCCGTTCCCCCAGAATCCCTTAGATCCTCCAGCCGTCCTTAGCCTCTCTGGTTTCCGTTTCCTAGCCACCCACAACTCCCAGACTTCCCTCTCTTCAGTTCTCTTGTTTCTCTCTACTCTCCTTTCTGGTTTTTTTTTTCTTCCCTCCGCCGTCCAGACTCTCTCTGCTCTCGGCTGTGTTTTCTGTTCTATTTATATCAAAGACACCACTCTCAAACCCTCACCTCAAAGGTGAGGATGAGAGTGGAGGTTTGCTGGGCATCTTAGGGCAATCCGATCCGTTGGGTGCCAAGCCAACCAGAAACAAACTCCCGTGAGAGTGATTTCATGCCGCATGCATGTGCGGCCTTTTCTCCTTTTTTTTTTTAACACTTAAACAGCCCAAAACCCGCTCTCGGGTTTCCCTTTTTTTTTCTTTTAAAAACGCTTAATTATACAAAAATAATAATTTCAAAACAAACTTTAATAAAATGCACAAAAATTAGTAACCAAAAAATAAAAAACTAAGATTTTCCTCTTTTCCACTTTTTCTTCTTCCTTTTTTCTCTCTTTTTTTCAATAAAAAGAAATAAAACATATTTTTTCCTAATTTTCTCTTTTCTGGCAAATTTTATGCTAAAAAGTCTTACAATAAAAATAAATAGCTAAAAGAGTAAAAAAAATGAATGCAAAATAAAACTAAGATAATAGATCATAGATAATAATAATCTAAAAACACTGAAATGCTATACAAAATGTTAAAAGTTTAAGAACTAAAATCATGGAATTGAGAAAATTATTACTAAAGATAAAAATAAAACTAGGATCAAATTATTTTAAATTTTGGTGTCTACAGTTTGCCCCTCTTTGTCCGAATTTTGGAAAAACTTGAGACAAAGAAGTAGACACCAAATACTCACCTGTGTTATTTGGCTGCGAATGGCTCGAACGATGGACGCTTTAGAAATGGGGACTGACCCCTTTGATAAAACTTTGAAATGGGATTGACCCAACAAGAAATTAAAACGGGATTGACCCGAACAAGAAATTTAAAAGCGGGACTGACCCGAACGAATTTAAATCATGGGACTGACCCGAACAAAACTTAAATCATGGGACTGACCCGAACAAAGTTTAAAATCATGGGACTGGCCCGAACAAAATTAAAAATCATGGGACTGGCCCGAACAAAATTAAAATCATGGGACTGACCCGAATAAAATTTAAAATCATGGGACTGACCCGAATAAATCATGGGACTGACCCGAACAAAGTTTAAAATCATGGGACTGACCCGAATAAAATTAAAATCATGGGACTGACCCGAATAAAATTTAAAATGGAATGCACACTAGTGGGACTGACCCATGTTTAGTGGCAATGAAAATGAAATGCACGCTAGTGGGACTGACCCATGTTTAGCGGCAATGCAAATGAAGTGCTCACTGGTGGGACTGACCCATGTTCAGTGGCAGTAAAATGAAAGGCTCACTAGTGGGACTGACCTAACAGCTAGTGGCGGTGCAGAATGAAAGGCTCACTAGTGGGACTGACCCAACGGCTAGTGGCAGAATAAAAGAAATGCGCACTAGTGGGACTGACCCAACGACTAGTGGCTGTGAAAAATGAAAGGCTCACTAGTGGGACTGACCCAACGGCTAGTGGCGGTGCAGAATGAAAGGCTCACTAGTGGGACTGACCCAACGGCTAGTGGCAGTGCAAAATGAAATGCTCACTAGTGGGACTGACCCAACGGCTAGTGGCGGTGTAAAATAAAGTGCTCACTAGTGGGACTGACCCAACGGCTAGTGGCGGTGTAAAATAAAGTGCTCACTAATGGGACTGACCCAACGGCTAGTGGCGGTGCAAATGAAATGCTCACTAGTGGGACTGACCCAACGGCTAGTGGCAGAATAAAAGAAATGCGCACTAGTGGGACTGACCCAACGGCTAGTGGCTGTGAAAAATGAAGTACTCACTAGTGGGACTGACCCAACGGCTAGTGGCGGTGCAAATGAAATGCTCACTAGTGGGACTGACCCAACGACTAGTGGCGGTGTAAAATAAAGTGCTCACTAGTGGGACTGACCCAACGGCTAGTGGCGGTGCAAATGAAATGCTCACTAGTGGGACTGACCCAACGGCTAGTGGCAGAATAAAAGAAATGCTTGCTCGAAAAATTATCCGAAGATTTGCCCCAGTGTGATGAATTGGTCAGTGGGATTAAACCCGAGCCTGCCTTACAAAATCCAAGTCCAACGTGAACTTTGTGATGTTGGCGGCACAAAATCCAGGCCCAACGTGGTATAAGCGGTCAGCGGGATAGAACCCAATTCTGCCGAGGTTGGCGGGATAAGACCCAGTTCCAACGTGATATAAGCGGTCAGTGGGATAGAACCCAGTTCTGCCGAGGTTGGCGGGATAAAACCCAGTTCCAACATGATTTTGTGAAGTTTGTGAATGGTCAGTGGGATAAGACCCAGTCCTGCCATCCAATTGGTCAAGAAATTGAATTTGATTTGTCAAAAAATCAGAAACTAAATTTGATTTTCCAAGAAACAAGAATTTGAACTTGATTTTTGATTTTTGACTTTTGAATTTTGATTTTTTCTGATTTTTCGAGAGAATCTCTTCAAAATAATTTGCCCCAGTTTCCACCAATTATTAAACTGATCAATTGATTTGCATTGCGGCGTGGTTGCTCCTCCTTGAGGCCTTGATTCGTAATATTTTGAATTACGCTCCTTCGTCGATTTCAGCCATGGATACCTGCACAGGGGGCTTACCAAAGTATGACATGCACTTGAATTTCAAAATATTGCAACTACTATTCATAGAAAGAGCAGTGTGATTGATTTGAAAGTATATTACTTGGCTCCTTGACGAAATCCTCAAATGGACTATAAAAAATTTGCCCCAGTATGGGCCCATTTGATTGCAAAAATTGATTTGGATGCCTTTCCATTTATTTGAACAAAGTAAGAAACTGTGTTTCCTATATAATGTGAAGAAAATTGAACGTCTTGCTTGACTTATACAGGAAATTTCATGATGAATTTCTCAAAATAATGCCAAATTAAAAGATTTTTCCTCACTTTAGCATCGATGTTTTGGGTAATGGGTCACCATTTCCTGTTGGCTCTCTTTCAGGACCAATCAAGTGGGGCGTTATTTCTGATTTGGAAATGGGAGGTCAAGATTTGTCTTATTCTTGTGCCCAAATCGTATGTAATCCCTTCAAAACCACATCTTAGTGAAAGCAAATAGTTTGTCACCCCTATTTCTTAAGAAAATTTAGTCAACATATAAGCTTTAAGCTTGCAACAAATGGGTAGAAACGATAGCTAAACATGTGAAAACTGGTTATACCCTTTGATCACAAATGATTTGATGGATTTTCTTATGAGCATAATCCTCACTTTGGGTTGTCATGAAGGATAAGTCAGCGATGGACTTTATGAGCTTGTAATGTGGCTTGAAAACGATAATTAAAGAATAAGACTTTCAAGGGCATTGCACCGAAGATCGCATTTTTCCAAAATTGCCCCTATTTTGAACTCAAAGATCTTAGACTTTGTTTGCATTTTTCTCATCATTCACCAGGGATTTCAGAGTCAATTTTTGCATTTACTTTTCTTGCTTTGTTTTTCGCTTTTCTTTTCCTTCTTTTCCTCAACCTGGTGGGTTTTCACATGGTGAGTAGCGTCAACCCCATACCCAAGCAATTCAGAAATACAGCTAAAATTTTCGGCATCAGAAATTTTCTTGACAAGGCCATTGCAAAGAACAGAAGTCAGGACTTTCGGCTTTGTAATGGGGTCAGGTGGGGTGCTTAGAAAAGTTAAGGCTTGAAAGCGGATTTCAAAAGCGGTTTGAAAAATCTGAGATCGCATTGTTGCGTCAACCCTATTTTAGGGTTAAATCAGAATCTGTCCCAGTTTATGCTCAACTGAGGCTTTTTTCTTTCATTTTCTTTCTTCTTTTGATTTTTCGGCCTTTTGCCATTTTTGAACTTTCACAAAATTTGCCTCAGTTTATTTTTGAACTGAGGTTCTCTCTTTTCTTTGTCTTTTGATTTTGTTGCATTATCACTTTTCCACTTCTTGAAACTTTTTCCTTTTCAACTCAAACTTGCCCCAGTGTGGGGTTTGCGATTCTCAGGGGTTTTGCCAAACGAAATAATTTATTCTGAAGGCTCAAAAGGGATAACTAGGGATAGAATGTTTGATCGGAAAAGAAGAGGGCCTGACTTTTATTCCGTTCCTTACAATAACTCTGAAAGGAAACTTTCATTAATGCGAAATTTCTTGCATGTATCTGAATTAATTGACTGAGGAAGATTCTTGCTCATTCATATCTATGAAACATAAGTGATCCGCCGGACAGAACTTGTCCTTTTTCTCTTTTCTTTTCTTTTCAAAATTGAAACCCAGGTAGAATCAAATTTCCCCAATTCGCGGTTCCCTCCTTCTTCTTGAATTTTAGCATCTTTGCCCCCTTTTCTTTTTCCTTCTTTTGAAAAATCCTCAAATCTCCTTCCCCAATGTGCGGTGCGA